GTGTACAGGTAAGTAGAAGAACAGGTTAAAAACATGAGGAAGCAGAGATCAATTTAGTATGTGTGACTGTCTATAGGAGAACTGACTCAGTACTTCCACATCGGCATAAAAAGGGGGGGGGGTTCATTGCTCTAGAATGAGATTGAGGAGATATGGCAACCTAATCCAATGTGTGGACCACCTTGTCTGGACCCAATATCAAACAAAATCACTGCAAAATGTCATTTTAGCAATATTAAGTGAAATTTTAAAATAGATCGATTATTCAACAATACCACAGAGTGATTACAAATTTTTACGAGTAATTACAGCACTATGATTACTGAAAAAAGTCCATAATTTTTAGAGGTGCACAATGAAGAGGGTAAGGATGGAATAACATAAAGTCTGGAATTTGCTTTAAAATACTCCAGCAGCCCCACCGGCATGGCTCAGCAGTTGAGTATCGACATAGGATCCAGGAGATTAAGGTTCGATTCTTGGTTGAGGCACACGCCCGGGTTGCAGGCTCGATCCCCAGCAAGGGGCATGCAGGAGGCAGCCGATCAATGACTTTCTCATCTTTGATGTTTCTATCTCTCTCTCCCTCTCCCTTCCTCTCTCTGAAATCAATAAAGACATATTTAAAAAATAAATAAATAAGATAAAATAAAATACTCCAGCAAAAAGAGAGAGAAAGCAAAAAGGGATAGAAGAATCAACAGTGGATCTGAGTGATAAGTATGTAGGTGTCCACCGTACTATTTTTTTTCCAATTTGGTACATGTTTTGAAATTTTTCATAATAATACATTTTTTAAAATAGTGAAGGAGAACAAGGCATAACAAATTCTTCCAGTCTCAAGAACAAGGGAGAAAAGTTATACTCTACAAATAGGTAGATATACGTAAAACTCTATTAAGATTTACATGAAATAGCCCTGGCCTGTGCGGCTTAGTTGGTTGGAGCATCGTCCCTTGCACCAAAAGGTTGTGGGTTTGATTCCCAGTCAGGGCACATGCCCAGGCTGCAGGCTTGATCCCCAGTAGGGGGAGCGCAGGAGGCAGCCAATCGATGATTCTCTCTCATCACTGATGTTTCTATCTCTCCCTCTCTCTTCCTCTCTCTGAAATCAATAAAAACATATTTCAAAAAAAGGCTTATGTGAAATAAGATCACTTTAAATTTATCTTGATTAATTATAAGAACAAAGATGAAAAAACAGATTTAATCCAATACCCAGCAGTCTTTACAATTGCAGGTAAATAATAAAATTTTCTAAAAAAAAAATACAAACCCAACAAAAACTATCTGGAAGAGGGCTGAAATAAAATTATAGTACAACCTCAAAGCCAGAGTGACTGGCATTAAGTATGGTATGAGGAAATATGAAAATCAAGGTAATCTTAATAGCTTTTTCAGCACTCTTCCTTGAATAGGAAGAGATCTAGGAGACTACTCGGTGGAAAGACATTTCACTACACATATGACATCTGGAAGATATTTCCAACATGAACAGAATGTTAAAATGAAGAGTATCTGAACTATTTCTTGGGAGCATGAAAAATGTGATCAAATATGGCCAAATTATAAGGCTGAAAGGTGAGGCTGGATAGAGTATTGACAAATTTACAGAGTAGGAAGTAAAGTGGGGAAGGAAACAGCTCTATTTCCTAAATTCAACCTGCCATGGGATCTCTGAGAAATAGCTCTATTCTGCTGTATCTAGTTGGGCAGAGGGCTAGCTAAACTCAAATTCTAATCCTGGTTCTGCCAGCTAACAGTTATGTGACCTCGAGAAAGTCACATAAGCTATCTGAGTCTCTCTGAGCCTTTGGTTTCTACACTCTGAAAATTGAGAATTAGGTCTTTTTGTTTTAGTTCACCTTACTGTATTCATGGTGAACAAAGTAACATTATATAAAAGCCCTATATAAACTCTCAGGGACTACAAATGTAATTATTCTTTTTCTCTCCATTATTACTATTATTATTATTAGTGGTGGTGGTGGTGGTGGTGGTGGTGGTGGTATTATAGACCATTTAATATTTGAAGCTTCAGATCTTTGGCCAAAGCAACCAAAGATTTTTGAAGTTATTCAGAAATTGATAATTTAATTTCTAAAATGGTCAGTCTCTTTGTCTTTCTTTATTCCTCTACTTCAATTTTGTTTATATTCATTGTATATTTACTCTCCAGCAAGGGGCCTGAAAAAATAGAAAAAATGCACCTGGCGGGGAGTGGCTCAGCAGTTGAGCGTGGACCTAGGATCCAGGCGATCAGGGTTCGATTCCCAGTCAGGGCACATGCCCAGGTTGGGGGCTCGATCAATGACTTTCTCATCATTGATGTTTCTCTCTCTCTCTCTCCCTCTCCTTTCCTCTCTCTGAAATCAATGAAGATATATTTAAAAATAAATAAATAAATAGAAAAAATGCTGAACTTAATGTGCTTCATTCTTTCACTTGTTGGCTTGGATGAATGACTGAGGAGGAGATGGGAAAGAATTAAATTAGCTCATCAGTAGAATTAGTTCATCTGTAGAAGTCTCTTATCTACACCTCCCAGTGTCCATTATGAAGAGAAATAGGGGTAATAATATTACTCTGAACATTTTATGTTGTTGCAGATCTGCTTCTTCCTTCCCTTATATCTCTCTCACACACACACATACAAACAAAAACACAAAAAAACTGTGAGTATGATAGGTGACAGAAAGAAGAGAAAGAGGTGGGGTTGGAGGGTTCCCATGAGAAAATGTGTTTAAAAACTGGATTTTAATGTGAACCGCAACACTGTATAGGTTGCCTGTTAATCTGTGCACCAGGTAGCTCCCAGGGAACAACCTCCAGCCTTGGGAAAGTCCCACGATTCTTGGCTGAGATTCTGGTAAAAGCAGTGCTGTTATGGCGTCAACGTGTAGCACTGGAAAATTACCAGGAATGTATATGCTCCTAGGAGCAAGAGCTGGCACTATGACTCCAAAATTGGAACTACAGAGGCAGAGCTGGTGGAGGTGAGGGAATCTTCTGCAAGGGCTTGTCTGTCTGTAGTATTGCAGCTCCCCTCCACCTTAATAGTATGGTTAGACTGGATGGTCGTGGAGACTAGGAAATGAAGCCACAGGCTTTCACACACTCACACACACACACTCCCTCACAGGCTTCTGTTATCCAATCACATGATTTTTGTTTGTTTGTTAGTTTTGCTTGATAAACCACATGGTGTGGGCAAAGGAAGTAATCAAAAAACAAGGATGACTTCTGGAGATGCCTGAAGAGAGTCAAAGACCACCAAAGTCAAGACAAGTTTAACTCCGTGTTTTTGTGATGTGTGTTTCATTTTCAGATAGTTTAAAAACTATCTGGCAAGGGTGGCTCAGTTGGTTGAATGTCATCTGTGCACCAAAAGGTTGCCAGTGCGATTCCTGGTCAGGGTACATGCCTGGGTAGAGGGCTTGATCCACAGTAGGGAGGGTGCAGGAGGCAGCTGATTGATGTTTCTCTCTCTCCCTCTCTCTCTCTCTCTCTCTCAAATCAATAATAAATTAAAAAAAGGTAAACTTCTTAAGGGCAAGATCTATATTTTCTCTCTACTCCTTGGCTTGGTTAGTGATACAGAAGATAAATCACTAGGCTTGACTAGTGAAGAGAAGCCAGCATATTAAGAACAAATTATATTGGTGCCATTAGCTCTGTCCTCAAAGGGGTAATGCAGTTATGATGGGGGAAAACAGCGGTCCAAGCAGAACACCTGGGTTGTGGTGGTGATTTTCCTACATCCTAGCTAGGTGGCAATACATGCTTCCTGGGCTTCAGCTGACTCATCTGTGAAATGAGGGGTTGGACTGGATAATCTCAGGCCCTTCTAGCTCTAACACTGTAAGAAATCATGAATCTATTGGCAAGAGAATTCGTTATTTCAATTCAGGCATTAGGCTTGTCTGAACTGCTTTTTAAAAAGTAAATACTAGAATTTCTTTTATTAACAGGTGGTACCACCCTCTCTATCACCTTCATTTCTGGTCTTCCTGGTAATTTGCCACTTTTACAGCCTTCTACAAAAGCCATTCTTAGTTTCTTCATCTTGACCTTCCAAAGAGGAAAAAAGTGACATTAGCCCCCCCACACAAAAAATACAGTTACTGCAAAGAAACAGTCCTTTTTCAGATTCTTGAGAATTGCTGAATAAGTACTTTACAAATGAGATGAAATTTGAAAGTATGTCTTACTGTTTCTTCCTGCTTTGGCTGACAAGTAACCTGTCTCCACCTATTTCCTCATTTGCCAGAAGGTGAAAAGAGTTCTTTGCTTTTCAAATTAAGAAAAGCAGGGCTCTTTACTCCTTACAATGGTAGCATCATCCAAACAGGGTTCACACTTGTCAAGCCTGTGCTTGCTGGAGCCCAGTGGGCCAGATACGAGGATTACTCAGCATTAGCTGCGTTCACACTGAGCACATGGGCCCTGGAGACTTGGGGGATAAAAATAATATCATTCTACATATCCTGGAAAAGTCTTGGGCCTGGAACAAAGCCTATAGATACCAGCTAACCTACTAAGGCCCTGGCATGGGAGCCCTCTCAAATATTTTTTAAATGAATAGGAATCCTGTGGTTCTTCTGCCAGGCACCAGTGGGAGTGTACATGACCTTAGTATCCATGTGTAAATTACTTCTGTACAAACATAAAAGATTGCATTTCTGTGATGGTTTTATGTTCATGTTCTGTAATTTCTTATGACAACTGAGACAATCTTGACTGTGTTCTATCTAGACGTCAGGCTTTGGGTCATAGTACAGCACAACCTACTCAGCAGGGTCTGTTACTTTAGGTGAAATAACCTCACTTTACTTCTCCAATATGAGGATTTGTTCATTAGAAAAGTCTACGAGTATCTTAATCAGCAGGGCAAGTCAGCAAATAAAAAACCTTTCAAGTTGCACATACCCAAAATTTTCATGAACGAAAGAAGTCAGCAGCTAAGTTCCCACCAAGGAATTTTCTCCAGCAAAGGATACTGCAGGCCCGAGGCCACGGCACTGGTGCGATAACCTCCTAGGCGTTGCCCACTCTCAGAGCAGTGCCAGGCAAATTGCTTGTCCTGTCCCGTGCTCAGCACCCATTCCAGCTCCAGGACAAACAGGATCATCGTCACTCTGCTCTGATGCGCTGAAAACCAAAAGGCAAGAAAACAATCCATGAAGTAACCTAAAGGAGGCTGGTAAAGCAAGGTCCACAAAGATGCATCATTTTCTTCTCCCCTCCCCAGAACAAGCAAACACAGGCAGAAAAGGGGTTCTCACCAGGGGTTGGGGTATGTCACTAGAAAGGGGCACAGCCAGGTTCTTACATGATTTTTTTTTTTTAATGACCCATTTACTGCCACTGATCTCTTTCTTGCTGTCACCAACCCAAAGATTACTACCAAAGAGGACACCCATTACCAAAGGGCCTGGGCCACTTTTCTCAGACATGGTAGAGCTGCTGCACTAGAGAATATCAGATTCTGTGTGACTACAAAACACAGTAGGAACAATGTTCTTATAATAAAGTAATGGGTCAGTTTATTTAAGCTTTAAAAAAAAAGTAAAGATGATTACTGTTCTCCTTTTGAGGAAGGCTGGAGTATAAATCTACAACAGAGTTCTACATCAATTTCCTGTAAAAAAAAATCAAACGCTTGGAATGGAGGGCAAAATTAGTCCCAAGTGCTAAACAAAAGAGAATGAAATAAGCCTTATGTCAAAGTACACATATATGTGATAATGAGAACAAATTTACCAGGGTTGCTCATACACAAGAGCAACAATATCACAGAATTATTGCATCACAACTTCAGAGTTAGAAGAAACTCATGTCATCTATTCCACCTCCCTATTTTAATATGGGCAAACCGAGGCACAATACAGTTCAGTAGTTTGGTCAAGGTCTAGTGGCTTCTCAATTATCAAATAAAATCAGTAAAATATTTGCTTTCTTCTTATTCTACAATTCCAGGGGGTAAGAAAAAGGGGGTCTGTGGCTACGGAACAGAGCTGACTAGAATAAACAAAGATTGAGACCCTGGAACCTGGGCGTCATTGGTCCAGTCTGATAAGCAAGAGTAGACTGATCATGAGTGTGATGCAGTGACAGACAAGATAGCAGTTTCCCATTCTGATCATAAAAATAGTTAAGACAGTGTGGGTGGATCAATGTAGCTCTATCGGTAGTAACAATATCACCTGCCAGTTTCTGCGTGTCTAACAAGTACCAGGTACTTAAATTTATTATCTGTTATTGTAGTGACCCTGAAAGAATGGGTGGTTCCCTCATTTTAGACATTACCTGGCTTTGGCAAGATGGCCCTTTTAGATTGGTTACCAAACAACAGTTAGAAGCAGAGTGAATACCCATAGGAAAGTTATTTCACCAAATGCCTGATGTTTTAAAATTTGATATTTGAAACATGAGATTCTAAAGGGACACAGAAAATGTGTAGAAGTAATACTTTTCTACAGTAAATGTCTGCCTCTCAGAGTATCAGCCACAGTCAAGATCATAACATCTTTTAATTTTATTTTATTTAAAATTTTATTTTTGTTTAAAATATTACAAATGTCCCTTTTTCTCCCCAATGGCCCATTCCACCCCATCCCATCCCCTTCCCCAGCCCCTCTCCCCACCATTGTCCGTGTCCTTGGGTTGTGCATATATGCATATAAATTCTTTGGTTACTCTCTCCCCCTCCACCCACCTTCCCTCCTCCATCCCTCTGACATTCGTCAGTCTGATCTATGCTTCACAACATTGAATCTATTTTGTTCATCTGTTTATTAAGTTCTTTAGGTTCCACATATAAGCGAGATCATGTGATGTTTATTTTTCTCTGCCTAGCTTATTTCACTTAGCATAATTTTCTCCAGGTCCATCCATACTGTCCCAAAGGGTACTAGATTTTTCTTCTTTACAGCTGCATAGTATTCCATGGTGTATATGTTCCACAGCTTTTTTATCCACTCATCTACTGATGGACACTTGGGCTGTTTCCAGATCTTAGCTATTGTAAACTGTGCTGCTATGAACATAGGGGTACATATATTCTTTCTGATTAGTGTTTCAGGATTCTTAAGATACATTCCTAGGAGTGGAATCACTGGGTCAAAAAGCAGCTCCATTTTTAATTTTTTGAGGAACCTCCATACTGTTTTCCATAGTGGTTGCACCAGTGTTCATTCCCACCAACAGTGCACTAGGGTTCCCCTTTCTCCACATCCTCACCAGCACTTGTTGTTTTTTGATTTATTGGTGGTAACCATTCTGGTAGGTGTGAGGTAGTATCTCATTGTGGTTTTAATTTGTGTNATGGCTACCATCAACAAATCAACAGAAGATCATAACATCTTTAACTAAAAGATGTGACTTTCTGGAGCTCTCCCTCCAGGGAGCACGCCTGTGCCATTCCCTTCCCTCATAGGAACATATCCCCTCATCTCTAAGGGACTCCATGAGACTTGCAACCAGGGGAGCAATGGGCAATGGTAGCTTGTCCCGGGTTAAGCCCCTGAACCTGTCCCGAAGGCCCCCTTTTCTGTGACTACCCAGTGAGCCAAAGCAGCTCTGCCTAGGCTCTCCTGTTGCTTCTTCTATGCCTTTAATTGTTTCACTGCTCTAAGTATGTTTTTGCTGTGATCGATAAATTCTTGCTTTTCTAAAAATAAATAAGTAAATAAATAAATGAATAAATAATAAAGTGGTTTCCTGGAGAAACTCTGAAGATCTTGCCATGTCTGTGTCATCAGATGTCTAATTCAAGTTCCACCAATGATAGGATAAAAACAAACTGTCTAATGGGTCCAAATGTAACTACATCTACTTTGGGCAGAAAGAGGCTTCCAGCACTTGGCCTCTTTTTCTCATGAAGTGTTCTTTGACCTTTTATCTATCATGTTCTAAGTCCAAAGGGAGTACGGTAGCCCAAAAGATAAGGGGGGGTTTAGCCCTCTGAACTTCCATCATGTGCCAGAAGAGAAAGAGGCATAAAAATGTTAAATGACTTGTTCAAAAGCTAGACAACCAAGGAAAGCTGGAATTAAAACCCTGGTCTCTGTCGAGTGACATCAGAGGAATGGTGGCATGAGAGATCTCCATTAGCCTCTCCCCCTGAAATTTCAACAAGTTAAACAACTAAAATTCAACAAACAATTCCCTATCAACACCGAGACATGCCTGAGAGACCCCAGCACTGAAACATCTAAAGGCAGGTAACCGGGAATACGCAGAGATGAGAAGGAAAGAAAGCTGAGATGGTCCTCAGACACAGCCCTACAGCAGGGAGCTCACAGCATGACTAGGAGAGGTAAGGAAGCCAGCGGTAGCAAGCACTTCCTTCAACTGGAAGGAACAGAGAGCTACAGAGGGCAGTCCAGGAGGGCAAGCAGAGAGAACAGTGAATGAGTGAGCAAATGCCTGACAGAGTGCAGGGTTCTGCCGCATAGTTCTTCATTATCAGGTGGGGTGCTTCTGACAAACAAACAGAACCACAGAGCCCTGCCACACTTTGGACTCCAAAAACTCGTCTCCCACTGCCCTCAGTGTTGGGCAGAGGAACATTTTATCTGTAAACCAAGAGCTATTGCAGTGGAACTACTGTTTCCCTCTGTGACTTAGCCCCAGGTTTGGCACTTGAGGCTGGATCCCAGAGGTGGGGGTTGCCATGACAGCGAGGGCAATACAAACCCCAACCCCAAGCAGCACGCTATACTGCCTTATGGAAGCTGTGGAGGTCAAGTCTGGGAAATCATAGAGGTAAAAAAATAATAATCCTTGTGATTCAGAGCCATCTACTAGAAAATAGTAGAAAGACCTCATCAGACAACGCTGCTATAGAAGGGATATTTATGCCTAGACAAAGGAAAGTAGCAAATACCATGAATAACCATGGTAACGAGGATGACTAAAAAAAAAAAATCCCCAGAAAGCAAGCTGGAACACATGGAAATATGTGGTATAAATGACAGGGATTTCAAGATTGCCGTTCTGAAAATACTCAACAAGATGCGAGAAAATAAAAACAGGCAATTCAGTGCACTCAGAAAACAAATCAATGAACAAAACAAGTACTTTACCAAAGAGATTGAAATTTAAAGAAGAACCAGTCAAAAGTCCTGGAAATGAAGCATGCAATTAAGATTAGCAATGAGCTACTGAGCATAGAAAACAGAGAAAACCAGATAGAAGAAAGAATTAGTGATATTGATGATAGGAATCTAGAAATGATGCAGAGGGAAGAACTGAGAGATCTGAGCACAAAGGAAAATAAAAGAGCTCTACAAGAACTACCTGACTCCATCAGAAAAAGCAGTATTAGAATAATAGGCATTCTGGAAGAAGAGGGGAAGAAGGGAACTGAGAGACTATTCAAACAAACACGGGATGAGAACTTCCCAAACCCGTGGAAGGAACTAGATCCTTGAATCAAAGATCAAATAGAACACCTAGTTACCTCAATCCAAAGAAGCCCTCTCCAAGGCACATTGTATTAAAACTGTCAAAAATTAATGACAAAGCAAAAAATTCTTAGAACAGCCAGGGAAAAGAAGGAAGTGACCTACAAAGGAAAACCCATCAGAATTTCATCAAACTTATCAGCAAAAACTCTACAACCCAGAAGAGAGTGGAACCAAATATTCAAATGTCTGAAAGAGAAAAATGACCAGGCACGAATAACATATCCAACAAAATTATCCTTTAAATATGAAGGAGAAATAAAGACATTCCCAGACATACAGAAGCTAAGAGATTTTATCACCAGAAAACTCCCATTGCAGGAAATACTCAAGGGAGCTATTCTACCTGAAACAAAGACCATAAGCTCACAACACTATGAATAAGATCACCAAAAATCTTAGAGCATAAACAAGGATAATTTGTGACAACAAAAACATAAAGGGGTAGGGAGCAAAGGTCTGAACTAGCAAAGGAGGATGAACATCAGATGCATTCGGGGGAAAAAACACTATTGTAAATATGCAACTTTCTTTTTTATNCATCAGATGCATTCGGGGGAAAAAACACTATTGTAAATATTAGATTTTTATAAATCTAATAATAACCACAAACAAAAGCCCCCAAATCAGGACACAGAACTTAAGGAAAGAGGACACAGAGGAAANTCACCAAAAATCTTA